AATAACGTGCCTTTGTTGTAAACAAGTTGTATATCGTAAATATCTGATGTTGATTGCTAGGGCAACTCGGCAGTTTTTCATTCTCATCCTTTTGACAAGATGAAGGGTTATTAAGGAAGGGTGCTTGAGTGGAAGTGATTTTTGAGAGAGGGAGGAGGGTGTGATAGAAAGGGAGTTTAAATAGGTCTCAGTGTTACTTGAGGCAGGCTTGACTAGGTTTCAAGCTGTAACCTCAACTCTTAAAGATGCTTCACTGCTATTTGAAATTCGCCATTGAGAATCTTTTGGTTCTGTACTTGACTTCTTGCTGGAAAGTGTTTCCTGTATGAGTGGCATCATCCACCAGACATGCACGGTGAGTTACTATTAATTAGCAACAGCACCAGGATCCTCTGATGACAAGGTGCAAATGAACGTCTAGCGAAAGAGGCTGGTTGGCTTGGAAGCCAGAAGATCCAGTTTTATTTCTGATTCTGGCAAAATAGCCATGTATGCCCATGAGAAGTGCCTTAAGCCTGGCAAGTCTTTGTTTTATACCCATGGAAAAGTAGAATTTTTTTTTTTGTTTAAAAGCAAACTTTTGGGATGGGTGTAATTTCTGACTGTAGAGTGCCTGGCGGAAAGGGGCCCTTGTCTTCTGTTGACTTCAAACTGTGCTTGTCATTGCCCACCACTGGTGCGAGATGTTGGTGGCTGTTTATGCAGTTCTTAATATTGAAAATAAAAGTGGAAATTGTGAACTGATAGATGCACACCATTTGGAACGGCTCTTACAGGATACCAAGAGGCATAACTGCTTCTGCGTTTTCGCTACATTTTAGTAGGCTTAACTGAGTTCTCTGGAATAAGTTATAGGCTAATTGTATCCTGAAGTTATTTTCAGTGTAGTTTCCTAAATCTGATCTCTTTCACATACAGTAAACACAGGCGTTGGTACAGGAATGCAGTGAGACCATGCCTAAATGTTTGTTTTCCCTTGCATAATCCTTTGCTTCTAAGAAACTGTATATCTTGTTTTCTGTAAGTGGGTGGGCTGTAGCAGTGTCTGTCTTTTGGCATAGCAAAAGAAATGTTAACTTGGGTTAAATGCAGTAACTTTACTATGAAAAGATAATGGCGAAAACAGTATATGCAGCATAAACAGTGGTACAGTGTAGCTTCTTGGAAGTGATGTTGTGGTTATGATGGTGTGGTGGTATTCTTAATATTCACTGATTGCATGCCCGCTTTCACTGAAAAAAAAAACCCTTCTTATGCTTTAGGTTCTGTATCACCATAATCTTACAGTTTCAGCTCATTTCCCGTCCTAGCCACCCCTTCCCATTTAAAAAAAAAAAACCAAAAAAACCAAAACAAAACAAAACAAAAAAACACAAAGCAAAGAACAACAGAATTGTAGACATCTTCTGTTGATAATAACTTCCAAATGGAAATCAGTTGCAGCTGGTTCTTCGCACTTTAACCCTCTGTTTGCTGGCCTTTCAGGAAATAATTGATGACTGATTGGCCCATTAACCTTTTTTTAAAAAAAAAAAAAAAAAGTTTGACAGCCTGGACTTGTGTAATGAGGAGGGATTCCTAGTGAAATCAGGTTGATGGCTGAGTTGCTTGCCCCTGAGGATGCAAAATTAGCCCTGCGGGACCTCGTCTGCATAGAAACTGGACACGATTAGTGTAATATCCAGTGTTATTAATATAGTTTGGAGTAATTGGGCAGGTTGATTTCGACAGGTTGATGGTGCTAAAATACTATTATAGTGAACCTTTCTATGAATAACTGTTAAACATGGAAAACTGTTTAATAAAATTTTGTGATTAGGCTCACAGGAATTTAAATAGCACAACCTATAATTTTACTGAAGAGTAAAACTGGACAATTTCATTCTGCTGTCTGGTTTTTCCTGTTTGTGTGTGGGGTGGTGAAGGGTGTACGTGTTTGCTGCTCATCTTTTGTAGACATTGCCCTGCTGGTGATGTGGAGCAGGCACTGCTGTTTTGTTTTGTAATTGCATTTATAAAAAAAAAAAAGTCAGTGTATTTAAGCAGAAAATGTATCATTCAGCACATCTTCAGTTGGCACAGTTGAGCTTTGTAGGGAGTAAACCTGAAGCTTCAGTGGATATCGGAGAGTGAAAACTTCTATGTTCTTAATGTATTATCAGCAATGACCAAGTTTTCAGCTGTCTTATTGATGAACTTAAAATGTCCTTCCAGCCCAGCCTTCAAACACGCTGTAGCCTTTGGAACCCACAGTGGGGCCATACGGGCGTGTTACATGGACTTTGCAATCCCGAGCCACAAAGGCTGTGCAAGGTCTTTACAGCTTTTGTCACAGTGTCAGCAGAAGAGGTCAGGAGATGAAACAAGGGAGCTTCTCCTTTGAGAAAAGGAGACTTGACGTATAAAAGAGTGACCACGGGAAGTGGCTGGAGGTGTTTCTTGAATTGCACTCCACTCGCCTGAATGGCCAGGTGTGTGTCCTCTGCCATAGGTCTCCTGTAAGCAGGGGAATAACTTTGTGTAGTGTTCCTGGAAAAGAAAGCTTGCGAGGTACCACTGCAAGGACAGTATTTCAGCTGCGCTTTTAAACAGTACACTGGCTGAATTGCAGAGCTTCTTTTTCATAAGCCCTTCTTGGGCAAACCAGCTTCTTCATGTATATGATCGAGATTATGATAAATAAGAGATAGGAGGATTCAATGGTGCTGCAGCTTGATTGTCTATAGTTCTTTTATGGTCTGGAGTTGTAGTGCTGGAAAGTCACCTTGTACTTAAATGCTGGGATGAACTGGTACAGGAGCAGTGCAGAGAGAGTCTCTAAAGATACACTATATATACTTGTTACATATTAGTTACATACCATCTATTCGTGTTGAGTTGTTATGCATTGAGAGGTCAACCTTGTGCCAGCGCACTGGAGAAGTCTCCTCTCTCGTTGTCCTCTTTGTCTTTGCATCCCCACAGGGCCTCGTCTCTGGTAAAAAAGGAGGTGTGGGGAATTTTTAAGTTGAGGTGGCAAAATGACCGTATTCTCTAGTAGGCAGCTCCTTCAGCTTATTCCAGACCTTTGGCTTACGTAGGAGTGGTATGACGTGTGGTCAGGGGAGAGAGGTGCAGGGAAAATGCGACATGGCTTGGAGCAGAGCTGTGAGTAGAGAAGGGAAGGGCTGAGGGAGAAGGGCATGCGGTGCAGAAAATGGAGCAAGGCTGAAAAGGGTGTTACGGCATATGGTGGGAGCCCTGCCATAACATAGGTGTATCTCAGTACCACCCACACTGAGTAATTTATATAGAAGGCTTTTCCGGACATTTAGTGACCAGCATTTGGAAATCTACCCTTAGTAAGACTTCAGGAGTACAAAGTTTTATCACTTAAAAGCCATTGAAAGGCCTAAAATTATGGATTTCCTAAATGGGACTCCACAGGGGGCTGCTTCAGGTGGGGTTCAGTTTTTCATGTTCTCTTTCACCATCATTCCCTGTTTTCATCAACATATGCAGAACTCTGCATGTGCCTGTACCCTCCCCACTGACCATATGCCATACCACTTCTGCATAAGCAGAAGGCCGTAACTGTGTTGTCCTACAAGAGACAGCACACAGGACTGAACATAATTTCCTTTATTATTGAGTAGTTCCTTATACATCTTCCTCATAAACTCTTGAATGCTGTTTGATAAATGTGGCTTTTTCCATTATTTATTTGTAGCATTTTGCATAATGATTCTACCTGTTTGTTTCTAACACAATGTTGCTAAAATGGAAAAGTAGTCATAGCTGTACAGTTGCATCGTTTCTCTTAACTTTCTTTTCTCTGCTTACCCCACTGCTGGTAAAACTGCTGTTTCATGTGCCCTCATGCACCTGGAAATAGCCTTCACCTCTGTGTTTATGCTCACCTCAAGGTGCAAAGTAACCTACTAGGTTTTGAGGCATCATTAAAGCAGAGTAAGCACTGGCCTTGCTAGCATGGCATTTATCAAAGAAAACTAGTTGTTCCACAGGTTGAGAAAATGACTGCCAGGGAGCAGCAGTCTTTAAAGCTAGTGCTAGATTTGTCACTTATCTTTGCATGCTTATGGATGACAAGGTAATGCAGGAGTTTCGTGGCTCTGAATATATAAGAAGTCATTAGCAGACAAGCAAATGTAAATGTTCTTTCTAAAGCCCATTATGGCTGATGTTCACCAGAACTCTATGCTCTATTATTCTTTCCCATTCATGCTTCATGCCTGCCCTTCCCAATTCCACTCGCTCTGTTTCAGCTTCCTCCTTAATTTTTTTAATTTGACTTTGGTGTCCCATGTGTAGTTAGAGCATGTGGCCATTTAGTTCAGTTCTGCTGATATTTTCATATGCTGTGGTCCTCTGGCCTGAATACTTGTCCTTATACTCTAGTAGCCCTAAGGATATTTCATTGACCCTTTCTGCTAGTTTCTCAGATCATTTTCTCATCTCCTATGTCGAACGTGAATGTTGAACTGATTTTAATCCTGTATTATAACCCAGTGTATTTATGCTGTAGACCAGAAAATGTACACATCCGCTTTTAATACATCTGTGTATGTAAAAAACTGCTTGAAGGAAGAGGGTAAATTGTCAAATTTTCTGTATTATCAGGTCTTTATAGTCCATTCATCTTCTAAGTTATTTTGTGACACACTTTAATTTTTTACATTATGTAGCTCTTGGCACCTCAGGTTTAAATCTAAATAACACTTGTTAGCCACTTTGTGTTTGAGAAAGGTACAGACTCGATACCAAACTCACAAACGCACACAAGAACTGCATATTTACCCAAAACAGTACTTCATCTGCTTTACATTTGGAGAGAAAAAGCAGTGGATCCACAAATTGTTTTCTGATGCATTGTGCAACTGCAGGGTGATTAGATATATCTGGCCTCAAACCTCAGATGTCCAGATCCACATTTGCTTGTTACATTTCAGAAAACATTTCCTTAAACTTAATCTTTTCTTCCTATCGCATATCTTTTTCAGAACAAGAAGAAAACTTTGAGTTTATCATTGTCTCTCTCACCAGCCAGACTTGGCACTTTGAAGCCACCACATATGAAGAAAGAGATGCGTGGGTACAAGCCATAGAGAGTCAGATCTTGGCCAGTTTACAGTCATGTGAGAGCAGCAAGAACAAGGTATGGTGCGCAGAGTAATACTGAAAGTAAGTAATGGGTGGATGACCATTAAGATGACAGCAAAATCAAGAATTCTGAATTTTAAACCTATACTCCTAGACACGTGTGTGTATTACGCACGCGACAGAGCAGAGTTAGAGCTGCTGGCATGTCTTAGATATTTCAAAACAGCTGGTGCTGTAACCTGTTTTACAGTTTATTTTTCACAGCAATTGAATTAGTGGGGCTCACAGATTATCTTTTTTGCCTTTGGTATTGCTCTTAAAATTTTGACTGAAACTTGAGGCTAGGGCACAGACTCCCTGCGGAGAAGTTGTATCGTGTATCCGCTGCTGCAGATTCAAGTTTGTTTCAGGTTAGAAGTCTGCAGAAGGCCCTGTAGGAAAAGCCTGTCTCGGAGCTGAGTGGAGGCAGACCCCAAAACCAGCGTATTTACTAGTCAATTCTCTAGTTAAATCTACTAAACTCCTGTGTGGCAAAATATAACTAAACATTCTGGTTAGCCTAACTGTAGATGTGCAGTAATGTTCAGCCGTAGGATTCTGCTATGACAAAGTAATACGAATCACAGAAATCAAAGCATATGTGCACTTTTTCTTTTCTTTCAGTACACTGAATTAGTTTTTTATGGTTTTCTGCCTTAACTAATGTAACACAAAGCAAATCCAGAAACAGTTCATATGAGTTTTTTGGGGGAGGAACATGGTCTAAGAGGAACAGTCCTTCTACCTTGCAATGCTTTCATATGATGATAGAAGTAATTTGTTCTCCTTTCCTGTCAGAATAAATGTATAAAACCTGAGACCTCTTCAGCCATTGCTCGTTTTTGGAAAGGCAGGAGAACTTCTGCTACTTTTGAGTATCTGTGTCTGCAGACTCTTCACAACTAGAGCACAAGATATTGAGTGGTAGTGGAGGGAGAGAAATGGGCGATAATTGTTCAGACCTGTAGATCCTTTAACGTTATCCACCTAACAGTTGGCTTTAATGATTTTTATATTACAAAGATGAGACTCATATTTTGAAATGGATGCCTGCTTTCATTGCCCTTATCTACCAAAGTAGATCAGACAGCAGTGATTATCATCATAATATAATTTACTTTCCATTTTGTTTGAAAAACTTATTGATTTCCAGTATGTATTTCTGAGATAGAGGAAAATCACTGCTTACGTTTTCTTGCCTTTCCTGGGTTTACACATATATGTTAAAGGGAGCACAAAAGAGGAAATTTGTACATTAACACCTGTATAAAAGTACTAATACAAAAGAGCATGAAGAGTGGCCGGTAAGTGGCTGAGAGAGGTTTTCTTCTGTAAAGTATTACCGAGGTCTCAAAACATGTCAGAAGAACTAGCTGGAATGGCAAAATGCAGTTAGCTGGGCAGGTTTAGTAGGTCTCCCATTGATAGATCAGGAGGGCTTATCTCCACATGGCCATACTTAGGACCTGGTCTTCACACTGCTTAAATCAATTCATTGCAAAGAGTCCATCACTTGCTACAGCTAACAGTTTTCTCCTCAAAGAGCCCACAATACAGTTTAGTTGCCTGGAGCTGAACTACTTGTACATTGTGACAGTTTCTCCTGTCCAAGTAGAGGTCATTGGCAGGTCATCATGGAGAGAATTTAAATGGGAGCTGTCTGATTAAATCTGACCTTTTGATGATAAAAAGGTTTCAGCTGCTTTTGCAAACCCTCCCTTGTCTTCATTAGCAAAAGTATACACATCAATAAAAGAAATTGATTTTATAAAATAATATTCTTATCTAATTTATCTCAAGAAGCAAACCTACACTGTGGCTACAGTTCTTGTGAATAGCAGCGTTCATTTTCAAGCTCGATTTTCCTCTGTGTGGCCTCCCTACTTGTTAGAATCCAGGCTGGAGACCCTAAAACACTGGGAGCTCCTGCACAGGGTGGAGAGAGCACTGGGATAAATCCTAAGCTGTCAAGAAACACAGGAGGAAAGAGAAGTCCCTGCTTGGCAGGTGTGGACTTGCAGTACTTGGAGATGCCAAAGCATAACTGTTTCTTGAGAAGCAAACCAGGGACTTGAGGTTCCTTGGTCGTGTTCATTCAACACTGGTTTAAGCTTTGGGTTTTGCCATTCGTTCAGTGGACTGTTGTGTCATCTAATTTTATTGGGGTCTTACTTGTGGCTTATGCATTTCTTTAAATCTGCGCAGTCCCGCCTGACGAGTCAGAATGAGGCCATGGCCCTTCAGTCCATAAGGAACATCAGAGGCAATTCCCACTGCGTGGACTGTGAAGCACAGAGTAAGTACGGACACATGACTTCAGAAAATTGACCTCTTCTCCTTGGCTGAGACTTATGTGAACACCCGCCATAGGCTTTGGTTTTTGGCATTACGTTTCATATGTTGTTTGCACATTTCTTCTTCATTACAGGGTTTGCTTAATCAGACTTACTTTATGTTAATTTACACTTAATATATGCTGTGTCAGATGCATCCTAATTTTTCCCACTTGTTGTTTCACTTGCCACTTGAAACGTCAGTATTTCTTTACTTTCATTTGAAGAAAAGGAAAAAGAAATTTGCTGTTTGACATCAGTTACTTCCATTTCCCTCCTAGTTTGTGTGGAGAGGGCGCATGTGCCACAGTAATGTTTTCAAAGAGATAGAGCTTGATTGGTGTTTTTTTGGTTTGGTTTTTTTTAGGGTTACTTGTCAGAAGAAACCAAAGTCATTGCTCATTATATCTGAATACTAGAAAACTGATTTGGGATTTTTTTTTCTCCCCTTTGTGTTTCTTCCTCTTTTTTATTTTTTAAAACATATACTTAATGTTCAGAAAAGTGTTCTTGACAATACTTTGAGCTGCAGTTCACCTCACTAACCCCGTCTAAGGTCATTGTTATGATGCTCTTTAGTTCCAGGGATTTGCAACAAAGCCATAAAAAGGAAGTACTCTTGCTCTAAAGCAATTAGTTGTAGAAGCAGAAGGATTGAGAACTTGTGCATTTTGATTTCTTTGATATTTGAAAGTCGGAACTTTTCTTGTGATTTTTACATACGCTTAAAATGGAAAAATACTTATTTATTTTTCTTTACTATAATGCTTTTTTTTTTTTAAGACTTGCTGTTTAGAATTTTGGCTACTGGTCTAGGCCAGTCTAACATCCCAATTAAATTTAAAATAAACATTCATATGGAAGTGCAAGTGCTTGTACTGGACTAATTTTCTGTCTCTATAGTTAGTAATTTAGCTGACTGGTCATTCACCAAACAAACCTATTAACCCCTGCCTAATCCTTAGAAGGTTTGAAGGAAGGTGGTTAGCGTGTTTACAGCTGTTTAAAATAAAAAGGTTTTTTCCTTACCATCAAAATTTGCTTCACATACCACCTGGTTTTAGTTGCTTATTTTGTAAACTGTCAGATACTTTTATGCTAAGCGCAAAACAGACATGGACCTGCTCGAGCAGGTCCAGGGGAGGCCACGAAGATGGTCAAGGCGCTGGAGTACCTTCCCTGTGAGGACAGGCTGAGAGAGTTGGGGTTGTTCAGCCTGGAGAAGAGAAGGCTCCTTGGAGACCTTAGAGCAGCCTTCCGGTACTTAAAGGGGGCCTGCAAGAAAGGTGTGGAGGGACTCTTGATCAGGGAGTGCAGTGATAGGATGAGGGGTAGTGGTTTCAAACTGAAAGAGGGGAGATTTAGGTTAGATATTAGGAAGAGGTTCTTCCCTTGGAGGGTAGTGAGGCACTGGCACAGGTTGCCCAGAGAAGCTGTGGCTGCCCTCTCCCTAGCAGCGTTCAAGGCCAGGTTGGATGGGGCTTGGAGCTACCTAGTCTAGTGGAAGGTGTCCCTGCCCATGGTAGGGACGTTGGACTAGCTGATCTTTAAGGTCCCTTCCAACCCAAACCATTCTTGATTCTATGCTCTCCATAGGAGATGGCTCAAGAACAAAGGCATCTGCCCTGTCCCTGGTGGTTCAGCACACAGGGATGTGAGCCCTGGCTGGACCGGGCTTTGAGTACCAGGATTGGGATGCTGTTAGAACAGTTTGTTGACTTTCTGGAGGGAGATCCCAAACAGAAATTTCACAGGGACTTTTCACAGACAAAGAGAAATAATAGCATAATTGATAAATTAAGGTCTTTATATTCCACTGGCTAGTAATCCAGCATGCAGTAAAGAAGGGAAAATGTTGGTTTGGCACACACAACCCAAAATGACTCTTATTTGTTAGTGTTCTTTCACACTGACCTGGTAGTCATTCAGATTTACACCAAAGCTTTTGTATAGTTCAAGTAAAAGGCATATAAGATGCTGTGCTGTATATAAGAAGGACAGGGTCTTCAAGTGACCTAGATGTATATTTAGCTCATTTGAAGTGCTCACTGCTGTCTGAGCAGACCACAATGGAAGTGTTACTGCTTTCTGCTACAGTCTCTGTGTACAGCTGTGGGTGGCATTTTCCTAGACCCTGCTAACTGGTCACCCAAGCAGAGGAGGAGCATGCGATCCCTTCACTGCAGGCGATTTCCCACACCCACACATGCCCTTCTGATGTGTCCATGATCCGTTTCAGCTCTACCCAGAGTCCACACTACCCCCTACCCCCAAGGTGTGTGTTTCGCTCCCCAGTCATGCACATACCCTGGTATTTATGCAGCCAAGATAGGTGTTTAATCATGAAAATGATTGTGCAAGAAAGCAGAACTTTTTTTTCCCATTTCAGACAGGTTGGTTTTCATCCAGATTGCTTCATGGGTCAAGCTGGCCACGCATGCATGGTGCCAGCAGGGGGGATGTGCCAAGAACATGTTGCTGGGAGAGGGCAGGGTGGGACTGCCCCTTTTGGCAGCGCTCAGCACGCTGTTGTGTAGCTTTTGGGGTTTTTGGAATCTCAACTGGAACCTTTTAAATTTTTGTATTCTTGGGGGTGATTTATACCCTTTTTGACTCTTCCTCCTGTTTAGCCTTCCCAATTTTAAGGCCACTGTTGTTCCTTTTGAAAAATTTGAGATATTTTCAAAGGGATGTATCTTAAAGTGTAAACGTGCATGAGGTGAACTTCAGCCTGATGCTTTTTTTGCCAGGCTTTGCTTTATTTCCTTCTCTCCCTTTCTGCCTTGCCTGGGCAAGTCCTTGCCCCCAGAGCATTTAGCATCACAAACACCAGCGCTCTTGTGGAAACCTTACCATAGTTTGCATCTTCACAAAGCCAGATATTTGGGAGCAAAGGAATATGAGATGTTGCTGTCCCTCAGCTCTATTCAAGAGCCATCAATCTTCCACTTCAGAAGTCTCATTCTTCCTCTTTCTAGAGCTCTTTGCCTTTTTAGCACTTCATCACAGTGCTTTGTTTCACCAGGAAATTTCTGCCTCTTGTTGTATGTTAATCAGCAGTGGTAGTACCAGCAGCATCTGTGTGCCGCCAGCCTTCTGGTCCTTTGGCAGTCTCATGCGGAAGTTTTTCAAAGTCCCTTTTTTAGTGTTCTCATCCCAAAGCAATAGATGAGGCAAACTGCTCTTTAAGTGCTGGAGTTTTTGCCCAAGAAGCTCTCATTTCATGTTTCAGAAGGAAATGGATGTTGCCTTTTCCCAGAGCATTGGAGTCCCACTGCTGACTTCCGTCTGGAGAAGGCACTGAAGATGATGAAGTTGCATAGGCAAACCCAGCTAAATTTCTGCCCCTGAAGGATTTTAGCTCTTCCAGTCTTACTGCTTAAAGAGCAGATGAGAGGATAAATACAAGTCACCTTTTCAAGATATCTGGAGAGCGTGGAATATCAGGTCTTCTCTGTTGTAGATGAAAACAGGGAGGGCTTAAAGAGGGAGAGTAACACCACGAGTTTTCTAGTCCAGGTCTAATAACTTAGTATGTCCAAGTCTAATATCTTACTGTGGTGTATTTTGTATTTGAGAGCCAAACACCAAAGTAATAATTTGTGTGGCCATGGCAAACCTACCATACCTATCACAAGATTCAGTTTTATATGCAGAATAGAAAAAAAACTCTCAAAGAATAGAAAAGAAGCAAGCTTTTCTCACTCTTCTGCTGCGACTCTGCAAGATGCTTTCAACCCTGCTTCTTCTTTCCCTGGCTCTTCTGCCTACCTCCCTTTAGAGATTTCCTCTGCTTGGCCCAGAGCTGTCTTACACATGCTGAACTCATGAGGATTTAGCGTGGCAAAGCCTTTCATCAGCCACCTTGGGTCCAAAGGGATGAAGAAGATGCTGGGGAGGAGTTATTTGCCTAAAAGGGCTGTTCCAAGAGCTTTCACCTTCGAATGATTGATCTGAGGTGCAAGTCAAACTGGGGAGGAGGTTTTTAGAAGAAGAGAGAACTAGACACTTTTAAGAATATGGACAGCTGAAAATGGTAATCTGGATATATTCAGTGATGTTAAAAAATGCGTTTGACAAATTTTAAGTAAAACAAAGATGGGAAACTAGCTTTATAGCACCTCTAGCTGCACTGAATGCGCTTTTTCTTTCTTTACCATCAAATCTGGATGTGTGCATGCTGGAGAAAAGCCTGCCATGTGCTTGTAAGTATTCTGAGCATCCTCCAATTCAGAATTACTCTTAGCATTAGCAGGAAAAGGGAACTGAGTTTTTATCATCTTCTTGAACAAAAGAAAAAAAAACAGCTTGAATAGTCACGACTTACCACATGTGGTTCTTTTCAGTATAAATCAGTGATAACAAATTTCAAGCATGAGATTTAGAAAGTGCTCAACTTCATATGGGAAGAGGCAGATGCAGATAGGAGCAGTGAATTGCCAACAGGGACGTCCCTGAGCATGTAATTTACACTAACTTGCCTTTGTTATTGGTGGGTAGTGACTTATGTCATCTGGCATATTTCCTTTTAAGGACAATGTGCACACACTGAAACAGAAGTCATACGCAATACCATGTCATTTTTTTCCCAGAATCCATCGAACGCTGCCACTTGCCCAAGCTCCTCATTAAGAGCCCTGTCTTGCTCCACGTTGCCCAGTTGTAACAAAGATCAACCAGTCTAGTTCTTCACTGGATGTCTGTAATGAGTCCAACACTTGCCTTTCCTAGTCTGCCACCTTTGAACTCAGTTGTGTGTTGCCAGATTGTTGAAATTTAAAATACCGTCCTGATAAAATTTCGTTGAACTTCTTGATTATCGCTTTGGTGGACTACTTCAATCGTACCAGCACTGTCAATTGGAAGTTGGCGACTACTTTAAAAATTTATTCGGTAAAAGATACACTAGATGTGCCTCAAGTACACAAAGGTGTTTGGGAAATCCCTAACATCAGCTCTGTTGGAATAATTGGAAAAATATTAATCAGTATCTTTTCGTCTTGCTTCATTCTGAGTTTGTGCTTCTTTGGCTTCGTTGTGCTTTTTATTTTTGTGGAGGCAACCCTGGCCTTTGCAGGTCAAGGACAGAGTTTTCATTCCAAGTCAGAGTTTGCGAATCTTAAATTATCTGCTCTGTTTAAGCTTTTACTGACAAATCAGTATTTCAGGATTTTTAGCATGTTTCAGTTATACTACTAGTTCCCTCAATGCCAAGACACTGAAACTGGTGGAGGTGACCTGAAGAAATATGCAGGAGTTTGTCATGGTTGTCTTAGCAAGGACTTGGAAAGCATGGCACCAGTTTTGTCTCACCTTATTTTTTGGAGACCTAAAATGGTGTATGTTCCTAGTATAAGACTTGGTATGGACAGGAACTTTTTAAACAAAAGGTGTGCTTTCCTATTCAAGTGAAATAAGATGGGGGATTTTTTTTGTTGGAGATATTTTTAGATTTCTAAGGACTGACTGAAAAAAGTCAATCAATGTCTTCAATGAAATGCGGGAGTTTGCAATTAAAATATCTGCATTCCTTTCATATTTTTTGTCCAAATGTCATACGGCAAAGAACTAGAAAATATGTTTTGTCTTCACGTATTTTATCTACAAAAATAACTTTTCAGTTTTGGGTTACACAAAGTCAAAATAAGTCTTCACATAGAATTTCCCCGAATGGAAAGGGACTCTGGAAATTAATTTTCTATTAGCTCTAAATTTCATTTAGATTTGAATAAAAATTGCCTCCCCTCTCAATTAATCACCATTTTATTCCTTGGCATTCGTGATAGCCTACTAGTTCTTCAGGAGGCCCACGGTAAGGCAAGAAGAAAAGATCTGACAGCAGGGGAGAGGAAAAAAAAGCCACCAAAAATACCTCCTGTACGTCTTTCGTTGCATTTGTTAAAATGAATGTTTGCTGAAGAGAGTGACTAGATTTAAATAACACAGGACAATGACAAAAAAGTGAACCGTCTTAGGAAATGACTGTGCATTTCCCAGCTTTGGTTGAGTTTGTCACAGCTTTATCATTTGCAGGGTTATTTGTGTGTGTGTGTGTGTCGGTGGAATTCTTCTGGCTCGTACACTAAAACTGGAATTGTTCAAAGTATCACATTTTCATCTTAGTACTTACCTCCCTGATCTTGGAGATGAAAACATACCCCATAGTGTGTTAGATGTAAAAGCCATATGTAGGTGATGATATAGATGGTTATTAAGGGAGTTGATATAGTTAGCAACAGAGACATTGTATCTAGTCGCTCCCCCCCCCCTTTTTCCCTTGTAATTGGCTACAAGTGGCTCTAGATTCCCGAGGAGGGGCTTTCTCCACTGCTTCATCAGCTGCCTGCCACTGCGTTTGTATTTTCTTTGTTTCTTCCTTTCTCTGTAATTCATATTTCTCTTTTGACTGAAGGGGGAATGATAGATTTTTTGAGACCCACACACACAATTTTTTTTTACTCCTTGAGGTTTTCTCAGAAGGGACTGTATCTCCACAGGGCAAAACTGACCCTTCTGGAAGGCCTTCCAACTGTGCTTTTGGATAGGACGCCTGCATTTTTTTTCCCCCCAGAGCCAAAATCTTTATCCACAGACATTAACTAGAAAGTTCTGTGAGGTGTTTCATTATACTAATTGCCTGTGTCCCTTTTCCCGTAGACCCTGACTGGGCTAGCTTGAACCTGGGAGCCCTCATATGTATTGAATGCTCAGGTATACACCGAAACCTTGGCACACATCTCTCTCGCGTCCGCTCTCTCGACCTGGATGACTGGCCTATAGAGCTTATCAAGGTGATGTCTTCTATCGGGAACGAGCTGGCAAACAGCGTCTGGGAGGAGAGCAGCCAAGGCCACATGAAACCTTCATCAGACTCCACAAGGTAGGTTTTCCTTTTCCATCTCGCCATGGCAGGTAGCGGGCAGGTAGTATGTGATGCTGCACATGGCCGAGGCTGTAAGCTATGAGCACGTAAATCCTTGTTTTGACATTACAGTCAGAGCTGGTAGGGCGTTACCACATTTTACAGCATGGACTTTTAAAATTCTCCTTTGGAGTATGCCTTGTAAAAATCATTACATATATATTTTTTCACTGCATGCCCAGGAAGAACCTGTGTCAAAGGTGAGGGGGTGTCAAACATTGAGTGACCCCTTTACTTTTTCACTCTTGTGAAGGTTTCCTCAGCAGCTCTACAATTTTTTATTCAATTGACAGACTGACAAAACAGTGGGAGATTGAAACCCCCCCCACCTGGTTGTTCCTCAATCTAAATGATACTGTAATGCGCTTCCTTGTTTCAGTTGGCCATAAAGTTCCTGGCTCATGGACTATCAGTTTGTGATTAATAATCTGCCTTCAATAGTTCACGCTCACCCAGGAATTTGTACCTGGTCATTAGGTGTTTGGGTTCTTACCACAAATTTTGAAAGTCCTGCTCACTGTGGACTTCCTTACTTTCTTTATGTAATATATCTGAAACAATAAGTTGGAGCCGGGTGTTTCCTACGAGAACAGTATTTTACCTACCCATCATAGCTCAACACAGTTGTGGTGGG